CCACAGAGGGGACGGTTAACATATTTCGGGGAGGGAGCAGGTGGCTGGTGATGGCTTTCATATGACAGCATTCTGGGCTTGAGAAAACACATGATTGGCCCAAGTGGCTTGCGGTGTGGGCTGAAGGGGTGGTTGTACTGGCCTTTGAGATTCCCCAATCCCTCCCTGCGGGGCTGGCCTGACTACGAGGATTAGAAGCCAGGGAAGAGTTTCCCCAATTCTCTCAGAGTCTCCTCCAAAGAAGACTGCCCCTAGGCCTGTCTGGCTCCTGGGGGCGGGGGGGGGGGGGGGGGGGTGGGGGGGGGGGGATCCGGAATCCGGTAGGCAGGGCACCAGCTCTGTTCCCGGACAGAATTTCCCACCTGCTGCTGCTCTCCTTCCCGTAGTCTCCAGCCGCGCCCTCAGTAACCCACACCTCCCTGCTCTCATCACTAACCATATACGCTATTGCTACAGCATGAACGTCACCTGCTGCCCCCTTTAGGAACTGGGTCCCTGTGCGAACCCTTGCTTCTGCCATTCAGAAGTGGTACAGCTGAATATTTCTCTTGTTCCGCGCGTGGGGCAGACAGAGAAGATCTCTGACATTTCTTCGGTCCATTCTCCCTCCCTGTGCTCTCAGGCCCAGGGTGTGTGGGTGGCTCTGGCTCCCTGAGGCCGTTGCTCAGTCTCAAGAAGTGCAGCATTTGCAGAAACTCAAAATCCTGTTTGTCTGGTTCGACATCGTTCTGTTTACAGCACTCCCCCATCGGCCCCCCACATGGTGTGTGTGTGTGTGTGTGTGTGTGTGTGTGTGTATAGGTGTACATGTATAGATAGGCAGGGGGAATACCTGTATCAGATAGCTGAGGGAAAGGGGTGGATGAATTCAGTTTTGTGTTTCAGTAACAGACATCTCAAGCTAAGTATCGCTTCTCACACACCCCTGACAGTTTCATCCCCGGGCGTTGAGGTAATGGCAAGTTTGCCAGAGAAGGTTTGGAAAATGAGACCTTAAAAAAGACTGGCAGCTCACATAATGAACGGGCCACACACAGAATAGACAGTGTCGTGTGTGCCTGCGTGAGGCAGCCATGTTCAGAGGCTGCTGGGCTACACATCCAGTTGTGTCATCGTGGGAGACGTGAAGGGACTTTGATGACAACAGGCAGCTTTTGAGAAAACCTAGAATTAAAAAAATAACAGTTAAGATTAGCATCTTCATTATATAATCAGCTCTTTATGTGCCATATTGGTGATTCCCTAACACAGATTTAATTGCATATAATGCATTTCAAAAGGCTTTGGATTAAAGCAAAAAATAAATTATTAATAATGAGGACATAGGAAGTCTGTGGGTTTTTTTCTGCAAATGGGAAATATTTGCAAAACTGTTTTACACTGTACATCAGCCGTTATTCACTATATTAATGGTATCTTAAAATAGCTTATTTTTGTTCTGTTTTAATTTAATTTATAAATATAATACTATGTTGGAGACATTTTAAAATATATGAATAAAAACACAGTACAGATCTGTGTACACAGTACCCATAAACAGAATGGATACAGCAGAAACCCTTTCCATTTACAGTCTCCTCTCTGGCCATTCTCTCCAGAAAGTGTTTTGTATGACCTACCTCTCAAGGTCATTCAGGGAGGCAGAACCTTCAGGTTCCTCCCAGACATGCTTCCGCATTGTCACCTCCAGGGCAGAGCCGCTCTGTCTTTGGTAAAGGATTGCTGCTTTTTCCTTTTTCCATTTTTTTTAAGTAGGCTCTATGCCAAACGTGGGGCTCGGACCCACGACCCTGAGATCAAGAGTTGCGTGCTCTACCAACTAAGCCAGCCAGGCGCCCCGGTAAAGGATTGCTTTTTAAAATCTCCAAAGTATCAGGAACCACCATTTGTGAATTACACACAAAAAAGAAGGAACAACTATTATAAAAAAATAAAAAAACCATAACACATTCCCCTGCTGTCAACTACATCATTAGGAGCGAAATCGCGACTCCTGATAGTGACAGGCTCTATGTGCATTTTGAATGGATACCATTTATATCAATGCTCAAAGTTGTTTTAAAAAGTTTTTTAAACGTTTGTTTATCATCGAGAGACAGAGAAAGACAGAGCACAGTCATGGGACAGGCAGAGAGAGAGGGAGACACAGAATCTGAAGCAGGCTCCAGGCTCCGAGCTGTCAGCACAGAGCCCGATGCGGGGCTCAAACCCACAAACCGCAAGATCACGACCTGAGCCGAAGTCGGACGCTTACCTGACTGAGTCACCCAGGTGCCCAATGCTCAAAGTTTTTAATGCGACACATATGCGTACTTCTTCCTTACCAAACTGATTTTATCTAGGTTGGATTGATATTTGAATATTAGAGATTCATGATACGGAAGCCTGTTGTACGGGTCATTTATTTTCAGACTATCTAGTTCTCCAGGTTTTTTTTTTTTTTTTAATTTTTTTTTAATGTTTTATTTATTTCTAGGAGAGAGAGAGAGAGACAGCATGAACAGGGGAGGGTCAGAGAGAGAGGGAGCCACAGACTGAAATAGGCTCCAGGCTCTGAGCTGGCAGTCAGCACAGAGCCCGACGCGGGGCTCGAACCCACGAACCGTGAAATCATGACCTAAGCGAAAGTCGGACGCTTAACCGACTGAGCCACCCAGGCGCCCCAGGTTTTGGTTTTCTTACGCATTGGTCATCCAGGAGTGTGGTGCTCCACTTAGGGGGAGGAAGACGAACAGTCAGTGAAGAAGGGACTTTCCCCATCGTGAATATGTTTCTTTGGGCATTTTCCTGGAACTGGTCGTAGGCAATATATACATTTCCCAGGAAGACTCTGGCCTGGAGTGGGTCAGAACACTGCATCAGTTAATTCAGTTCTAAGATGACTCTGTGACACAAGGCTGAAAATTTACTTTCCGTCCTATTTATCATCCCAAATGATGTGCAGTCACATTATCCAGTGTGATATTAACCGGAGCTTCGGCAGTGAGCTAAAGCCAACAGTAAAATGAAAATGGGCACACAGAGAACAAAATGTTCCCGCCTAGAGAGGTCCAAGCCAGACTATAAATCCCTTCCCACCATCAGATTCCCAGCAAAAACGTAGCTCATCTCCTGCCATTGCTTCTCTATTATTATTATAATGTAAGTGAGAATAAATCAAAGGAAGGAATTGATAGGCATTTGAAAATGCACCCCATTCCCTTTTACTGACATATAAATTATCTTTGCCAACTTGCTTTCCATTTAAATAGCTCTAAGAATTTCTCAAAGTAAACAGTACATTGAGGGTCCTTATTTTAAAATGACTCTGCTTTTTCTCTCTCTCTGCCCCTCCCTGTTCATTCTTCCTCCACCCCCTTCTTTCAAAACAAACAAACAAAAAAGCAAAACACAACTCTGCTTTGTTCTGCCTCTCTAGCTGGGGGAGTTGAATGCTCAGGACATTAGCATTTAATTGTAAAGAAGTTCTGTTCTTTGACAACCTGTATATAGTGCTCATATTTTAACATTGTTTTCAATTCTTACATTTTGATACAGGTGAATAAATCTGGGCAGATACATGAAACTCTTTTCCTAAAAGATAACGCGTGTGTTTAGTGGTGAGAATCAAGGACCACTTTAGATGGGTTGGAGAATCGCCTAGTCTCTTAGACCATGGAATTAACTCACAGGTGGGGTGCTAGCTGGGGCTTAGCAGGGGAGTTCCGGGGCCAGGGGTTAACATTTAAGTATGAAAGAAAAGTACAGTTAACCCTTGAGCAACGTGGGGGTTAGGGGTGCCAACCCCACACACAGTCTAAAATCTGTGTATAATTTTGCCTCCCCCCAGATTTAATTACCAATAGAGAGAACTGCCAGGGATCACTTCTTAGTGCAAAATACAATTTACTGGAGACGCGAACTGCTCACTTGAAGATGATTAGCACTACAGGTGTTTTAAGTAGCTACTTTGGGCTCCCTGCAATTCCACAGGTGGCTACAGTACCTACGGCAGTTGGTTGCAGTTATAATGTAATATTGCATCCTTACAATTGTTTGTATTTTTCTTGACTGGGAACCGGCAGGTGCCATGCGTGGTCTGCACGTGTGTAAGTTTTGATAAATTTTAACTTTGTAACAGATTCATGCATACTTAATGGCAGTAAAAGATAAAATAGACTACTGTCTACATACGTCTTATGCATTCATGACATACCTGACTTTTTCTTAATTTGCAAGATTTCTAGACTGAATGGTTTGTGAGTTTTTTCAAATTGTCACAAATCTCCAAAAAAATTCCAATTTATTGGTTGGAAAAAATCTGCATGTAAGTGGACCTACGCAGTTCAAACCCATGTTGATCTGGAGTCAATTGTATCTGTAGATATAAAATGAACAGTATTTTTATGGATCCTTGGGGAATATGGCCTCATGGGTGAAAAGGTACTTTCTTGTCTGGTGAAGGAATGAATTCATGTGTTTTGACCACTCTTGGTGTGAAGATGAGGGTGAAATGGGAAAGACTGTAGTTCATGAAACTGTCTTTCTAATAATCACTCTGAAGAATGGCTGATAAATGTCATGTAAAAGGGTCTGAGGGCACACAAAATTTAAAAGGGCATTTCCCAAGGCCGCCTGGGTGGCTCACGTGGTTGAGCATCTGACTCTTGATTTCTGCTTAGGTCATCATCTCATGGTTCATGAGTTTGAGCCCTTTGCAGGGTTGCTGAAGCACCTTGGGATTCTCTCTCTCTCTCCTCTCCCTCCCCTCCCCCTGCACTCATGCTTTCACTCTCTCAAAATGAATAAACAAACGTAAAAAATAAAAATAAAAGGGCATTTTCCAAAGAATGCACCTTCTTTTAGATTTGTCAGCAAACCCTAAGAGTTGCATCTGAGGCGCGCAAGAAACAGCCGGGGCATTTTTGCCAATGGAGGAGTGGATTCCTTTCTGTGTGCACAGCGGCATAACTGACATTTTTCCCCTCCGTAATAAAGACTTGCACTCCCCTGCCCTCCAGAGTTGACCTTCCGAAACACAGTACACCATCTCTTGCACGACTGTCACCTGCTCCACCACGCAGCCACCACGTTTGGAGTCACACTTGTGGATGGAAGATGTTCCGGCCAGTTGAGCTGGGAGCCACCGTGGGTGCTCTGCTGTTCGGTGTGAACCTCAGGGAGGGCACAGCCGTCTTGTGAGCAGCATCCATAAATCTGTGAATAAGTGAGAGACTCATAATGGACATAGTAAAGTATTTATAGTAAAGTTTCAATATTAGCATCCATTAGGAGTTATTTCCTTGTATGAAAATTCTTGTTCCCAGTGTATCTCTGGGCCATCACCCCGAGTCTAGGGGATCTACTCATTCATTCCAGGTAAATATGCCTGCACAGCACCCTTGAGCATTGTACCACATCCGTCTTCTGGCGTCCAGACTGCGATAGAAAAAAAATTCTGTAAATAGTATCAATGAGCAGCAGTTTTAGACAAACCCATGAGGAAACTATTCCCATGTGTTCTCGTTTTGCGCACGGTGATATTCGGAGGGGTCTTCGGCAGGAAGGGCGGAGTGGAGCCCAGCCAGCGGAGGGCCACTGGGGCACAACGTGGGGCCGAAGGGCTGGCAGCCCTGGGCCACACAGGCCCGTGTCGCAGCTACTGCCGCTCTTACCGGCGGTCGTCAGGGCCGCCCTGCTTTACTGAGCACTTACTATGTGCGGCGCTAATCTGCGCACTCAACATGCACCGGGGTGAACCATCACCATGTGATGACCGACAGTTACGGGCCCAGGTTAGAGCTGCGGGGCTGGGTCCCCACGAGGCTGGCCCCTCGGACTCTGGGCTCGAGACAGGTGGGGGCGGGAGGGCACCAGACACGTGACCCAAGCCCCGCCCACGTGTGCCTCCCGTGTCCGGCGCGGTGGGTCTGGTTCAAGGGCAGAGGGAGCCACGCGGATGGACGGTGGCGGGGAAGGGGGCGCCCCCGCTTCACGCACCAAACGCTGCCCCCGAGGAGGCGCCCCGCGGAGCGGCCCCTCCGTACGGTGCACAGCCCGCCCGCCCTCGCAGGCCGCTCGCAGAGCCTGCCCTCCCGGCCTGGCCGTGCCCCCTGAGAGCGCCTCTTCCTGCGTCCTCTCTGTAGGCCTCCTGGGGACGCCCTCAGGGCCAGGCCCGGCCCCCAAGGGCCCCCCCACCCCCCAAGCCCTGAGCACACAGCCCGTGCAGGGCTGAGCTGAGGGTGTCCAGGGGCCTCAGGGAGAGGGAAGGCCCGCCAGGCCACCTCCTGCGGTCGGCCCGGGGCAGGTGGGGCCGGGGCTGGCCTGCGGCCGGAGCGCCCCCCGCCCCCCGCCGCGGGGCAGCCCCTCTGGCGTCGGCGGCTGCGGCCGTGGGTGCGAAACCCAGCTCCCCCAGGGACGAGCCGCGCAGTCTGGGCGCCTTAGTGGGGCCCGGGCTGGTCTCCGTTCTCAGGTCAGGAGGAGGGGTACGCTCACCCCAAGTGTAGCGTGAGGTCCAGTGGGGCGTTGTGTGTGTTCCACACGCAGTAAGGCTCGAGAGACATTGTGTAGTGTCGCTGTTGTCTGTGTGCACACGCCACCCACGGAGTGCAGTTTACTTCTACGTCACGGCTTGGAAGGTTCTGGGGGAAAGGCTGCAGCTGCGAAGTACGGGGGGCGGTTACAGGCGGGCTCACGCCCGGGGAGCCGAGGGGCGGGCTGCTGGTCCCTGACTCTTACACCAGGGGCAGACGGGTAGGTCCAAGGACAGGCCCGTCCTCCAGGCTCGCCCCTGTTCGGCTTCCCAGTCCGCCCAGCGAGAGAAAGTGTGCGCCCTCCCCACCCCCCATGCTTCCCCCTCCTGTCCCCTTCCCTGCGTGCTCCCACTCCTCCCCCTCCGGGGCGCTCCCTCCCCACCCCTCCCCATGCTTCCCCCTCCTCCCCTTCCCTGCGTGCTCCCACTCCTCTCCTTCCCTGCGTGCTCCCGCCCCTTCCCTGCGTGCTCCCGCCCCTTCCCTGCGTGCTCCCACTCCTCTCCTTCCCTGCGTGCTCCCGCCCCACCCCTCCCCTTCCCTGCGTGCTCCCTCCCTTTCCCTGAGTGCTCCCCCCACCCCTCCCCTTCCCTGGGTGCTCCCTCCTCCCCTCCCTATGCTTTCCCCCTCTCCTTCCCTGCGTGCTCCCGCCCCTTCCCTGCGTGCTCCCTCCCCTTCCCTGGGTGCTCCCCCCCACCCCTCCCCTATGCTTTCCCCCTCCCCTTCCCTGCGTGCTCCCTCCCCTTCCCTGCGTGCTCCCCCCCACCCCTCCCCTTCCCTGCGTGCTCCCTTCCCTGTCCCCCCACATCCCAGGGAGCTCCTAGTTTTATCGTTCTTCAGACTCGGTCCACGAAAACGACTTCTGCCTCCAACGGACAGAGTGACTTGAAGGGTCCAGGACCCCAGCCGGCTGAGGAGGAGGGACGAGGTGGCAGGGATACTGTGCTGGGCCCAAGGGGGCGCGGCCACTCGTGAGACAGAATGCAGTGGCCCTGGGGTCATGACCTCTGGGAGCACACGGGCGCACGAAAGGGACCGAGGACGCGAACCCGCCGCGGGTGCCCTGCGGGCGGGGCCACGGCACGTGGCCGCGGCGGGTCTGAGTCAGCTTGGTCTCCGCCCCCGGACCCTGCCTCTGGTCGGGCGCTGACAAGCGCGGCTCTGCGAACCACGACACGGAGGCCGGAGCTCGGGGCCTCTCGCCCTCGCAGGCCCGGAGGGCGCCTCCCTCCGCGCGGCCCCCGGTCCTGGCCGCCGCCTGGGGAGCTGCGCCCCCTCCCCCTCTGCGGCCAGCCCCTCCCCCTCCGCCCTTCCTCCCACGGACGTTCATCTGCGTCCGTCACCCCCTGCCTCGCCCCAGCCGTCCGCCCGGCGTCCGCACGCTGTGCCTGCCTCTCCCGGGACGGCTGAGCCGGGGGGGGGGGGGGGGGGCACCGTGACCCCGCCGGCCTCCCGGCCCTGCTGCGGCGTGTCGGGCTGGAGGCCGCGCCCCACTTCAGGCAGCGCCCGGAAGTGGGCACGACGCCCGGCCCGGGTTCTGGGGCTTTCCCCTCTCGCCGGTCCCTGGCTCTTCTGCTTGGTGCCCACATCCCGCAGCCGGTCTGGCCCGTGCGGTCGACGGACGCGACTCGGCCTTCCCGCCCCTCCCCGGGGCCACGACGACCCCGCCGGAGCCGAGGGCGTGGCTGCGGTGAGGACGGAGCCCTGGGCGCGGGAAGGTTCCGGAACCCTGCCTCTGCCGGCTCCGCTCAGGCTGCGCAGTGGCCTCGGGCCACGGGGCTGCGGTGCTGCCCACAGACTGTGCCGCACAGCCAGCGGCCCCAGGACCCTTACATCTGCCACCAGGGGCGGGCCCCGCCTTGCTTTCTTCTCCGCGTGTGGCTGAAAACAGCTCTTTAACTTTCCTTTCTTTCCTTTTTCTAAATAAATAAATAAATAAGCAAGCAAGCTAGCTTTGAAAGAATAATCCACCCAGCTCCTGCCTTACCACCCACGTGCTCCCCGATTCCGTACAAGTTTTTCTCCACATTTTTTTTTTCTCCTAAGAAGTACTCTCTTGAAAGTCAGCTGAGTTAGGAGCACCACGCGTGTTTTTCGTTTAATTCTTGCAAGATCCCTTGCAAGACCGGCCTGCATGGCCACGTGCCAGATGACGAAATCCCAGCTCGGCCCGGTTCAGTGGTGTATGCAGTCGCTCAGGACAGGCTGCCTGTCTGACCGCAGAGCCTAAGGTCATCACCCCAACCCTGAAGGCGGTGCCGGACTGTGTCCAAGCAGGAGTCCTGCAGACCCAGGCCGTGCAGAGGGCTGGGCATCGGATCCCAGGGTGCTGTGATAAAGTACCACTCGCTGAGGGCTCTGGAGGCTGGGGGTCTGGCCTGAGGGGTTGGTAGGGCCGAGCCCCCTCCGGAGGCTCCAGGGGGCGGAGGAGGGGATCTGTTCCAGGCCTCTCTCTCCTGGCTTCCGGCAGCGTGGCTCCAGGCTTCACGGGGCATTTTCCGCGTGTGCATGTCTGTGTCCACACTCCCGTCTGTGTAAGGACGTAAGTCGTAGTGGATGAAGGCCCACCCCGATGACCTCATCTAAACTGATTGTATCTGGGGGACCCTTGGTGGGCTCAGTCCGTTAAGCATCTGACTTCGACTCAGATCATGATCTTACAGCTCATGGGTTCGAGCCCCGCGTCGGGCTCTGTGCTGACAGCTCAGAGCCTGGAGCTGCTTCAGATCCTGTGTCTCCCTCTCTCTCTGCCCCTCTGCTGCTCACACTCTGTCTCTCTCTCTCAAAAATAAACATTAAAAAAAAAAAGATTGGGACACCTGGGTGACTCAGTCGGTTAAGTGTCTGACTTTGGCTCAGGTCATGATCTCATTGCTCGTGAATTCGAGCCCCGCGTCGGGCTCCGTGCTGACAGCTCAGAGCCTGGAACCTGCTTCGGATTCTGTGTCTCCCTCCCTTTCTGCCCCTTCCCTGCTTGTGTTTTGTCTCTGTCTGTCTCTCTATCAAATATTTTTAAAAAAACAACAACAAAAAAAGAAATTGCTTGGTTCAGTGTGGGATGGAGGAAAGGAAGTGATTGCCCTAATTGCTAAGTCCACACACGCAGTGTTAGCCTCACGCCTTCATCCCTTTCTGGTTGCTTTCGTGGCACTTTCTAGAGTTTAATGCTAATAGCTATAATTTCTCAACAGAGCAAGGCCTGTCATTACCTTTTTAAAAAATATTTTTTAAATGTTTATTTATTTTTGAGAGACAGGGACAGAGTGTGAGTGGGGGAGGGGCAGAGAGAGAGGGAGGCACAGAATCCGAACCAGGCTCCGGGCTCTGAGCTGTCAGCACAGAGCCCGACGCGGGGCTTGAACTCACAAACTGTGAGATCATGGCCTGAGCTGAAGTCCAATGCTTAAATGACTGAGCCCCCCAGGCAACCTTTTAAAATGTTTTTTTAATGTTTATTTTATTTTTTGTTAGAGCATGAGCAGGGGCGGGGTAGAGAGAGAGAGGAAGACACAGAATCCAAAGCAGGCTCCAGGCTGTCGGCACAGAGCCCGATGCGGGGTTCGAACTCCTGGACTGTGAGATCATGACCTGAGCCGAAGTTGGATGCTTAACGACTGAGCCCCCCAGGCGCCCCCAAGGCCTGTCATTTCTTTTTTTTTTGTTTTTTGTTTTTTATTTATTTCTAGGAGAGAGAGAGAGACAGTGTGAGCAGGGGAGGGTCAGAGAGAGAGGGAGTCACAGACTGAAACAGGCTCCAG